TTCTTCAACAGCGCAGAGCAAGGGGGGCAGTTCTCGAGCGCGGCGCACACCCCGCTGCGCTGCGACAGCCGCGCCAGCACCGTGTCCCCCGGCGGCTACATGGTGCCCAAGGGGTCCGCTTCCTTCCAGCCTTCCCCCGAGAACTGCCGGCAGTTCCCCAGCGCCGCGCCGTGGGCTTTCCGGCAGGGCTATGGTGGGTTGGATTGGAGCTCGGAGGCCTTCAGCCAGCTCTACAACCCGGGCTTTGAGTGTCACCTCAACGAGCCCAACGTCATCCTGGATATCTCCAACTACACTCCGCAGAAAGCCAAGCAGCAAACGGTCTCGGAGACCTTCTCCGAGTCCTCCTCCGACAGCACCCAGTTCAACCAACCGGCCAGCTACCGGCGCGCCAACAGCGAGGCGTCCTCCAGCGAGGGCCAGTCCAGCCTCTCCAGCCTGGAGAAGCTGATGATGGACTGGAATGAGGCATCCTCCGCCCCGGGCTACAACTGGAACCAGAGCGTCCTCTTCCAGAGCAACTCCAAGCCTGGGCGAGGCCGGCGGAAGAAGGTGGACATGTTCGACACTTCCCACCTCAACTTCTCCTCCTCCTCCTCCTCCTCCTCCGTGTACCCCTCCAAGAGGAACACGGGACCCCGGCAGCCCCGGGGCTCCCGGGGCGCTTGTGCCTCCAAGAAGGAGAGGGGGACGGGCAAAGCCAAGTTCCACACCAAGTCGCAAGCAGTGAACCCCCTCTTCCAGGAGAGCACGGACCTGGGCTTGGACTACTACAGCGGGGACAGCAGCATGTCCCCCCTGCCCTCCCAGTCCCGGGGCTTCGGGGTGGGCGAGCGGGACCCCTGCGACTACGCCGGCCCCTATTCCATGAACCCCTCCACCCCCTCGGATGGGACCTTTGTGCAGGGGTTCCAGAGCGACTCCCCTGGGCTGGGGCAGCCGGATTTGGAGAGCAAGCACTTCCCTGCCCTCCCGCCCCAGCTGGCGGCCCCGGGCCAGCAGACGGTGTTCGAGGCCGGCTTGCAGAAAGCCTTCTCGCCCAACTGCTCGCCAACGCTGGCCTTCAAGGAGGACCTGCGGGCGGGCTCCCTGCGCAAGCTGCCCGCCTGCGACTCGCTCAAGCACAGCATGCAGGGGGGGGCCCTGCCGCAGGCCCCGCACTTGGCGTGCCGCGATCTCCCCATGCCTCAAGCGCACTACGAGTCCCCCAGTTGCAAAAACCCCCCGTACTGGTATTCGCCCAACGCCAGCACCCGCAGCCCCTCGTACGACGGCAAAGCGGGGGCCGGGATGCTGGTAGACTTCATGGGCAGGACGGACCCCCCGTGCCTGAACCCCCACTTGAGCAGCCCCAGCAGCACCCACCCCTCCAAGGGCGAGAAGGAGCCCTTGGAGATGTCGCGGGCCCATCACCGGGGTCCCTACGCTTGCCCCTTGATCAATGACTTGAACATCTCCCCCGTACCGAGAGACTCAATGCTGCAGCTGCAGGACAACTACAGGTACCCCAGTTTTGCACCCCAAGGGCACCCCGTCATGGCCCCCACCCAGAAGAGCGGGTTTTTGGGACCCATGGTAGAGCAGCAGCACCCCGAGGACACTTTTACGGTCACCTCATTGTAGTGTCTGCAGACGTGCCAACCGGACGACGAGGTTTTGTTACAGGGTAGGTGGGGGAGAGCCTGGAGGTGATGGTGGGGAGGTGGTGCTGGGGGACACAGGGTCTCCTCATCGTGTGTCCCCCCCCCTCCTCTCTCTGTGTTGTGTTTCTTTTGCAGAGGTAATTTAGCCAGCACTTTTTTTCTGGAACACTTTTCAAGTTCTGTATTTAACTGGGATTGGAACCGTTTGTTTGTTTTCTATAAAAAAACACCCAAAAAAACACCAAAAAAAATATTAAAAAAGGAAAAAAAAAGAAAAAAAAAAGAAAAATATTTAAAAAGATCAAAAATAAGTGAAATGAAAGGATAAAAAAACATTAATAACGGACGAAGAGCGAAACCCCCCCGTGTTCTCCCTGCTCCGCACTTAATCCCGCTCCGCCTGCCAACTGCCTGGCTCTGCTTCCCGGCCGTGCCGCCCTCCTCCCGCCCCGCAGCAGGACAATCGCATGGATGGACGGATGGACGGACGGACCCACGGATGGACAGACGGACCCATGGATGGATGGATGGATGGATGCATGGATGGACGGATGGCGCAGCCCCACCGAGCCCAGGGGCACAGGCAGGGCGCAGGCAGGAGGTGGCCATGGGGGTCAGCAGTGGGTGCCCCCTGCCCGCAGCCTGGCCAGGGGACAAGGGCAGCCCCTTGGCTGCCCCCGGGGGGGCTGCTTTGGGGATCTTTTGTTTCTTGTTTTCCCTCCCCGTCCGCTCCCCCGCCGGGTGCTTTCCGTGCCGGATGGATGCCAATGGGTCTTTGGGAGCGCTGACCCCCACCAGGCTCTGGCAGCTTCGCCAGCGGGGCTCAGAGATGCCACCGTCGCCCGGTAAGTGCCAATGCATCCCTGTGCCCACCCGGTGCTCAGTGCCCCCGGAAGGTGGGGTGGGGATGGGTGCTGGGTGCTCTGTGCTTTCCAATGGGGTTTCCAGTGAGGTTCACCCACTGGGTGCTCCTAGCCCCTTTTGGGCTGCAAGCACTCGACCCGGGTGTTGCCCCATGGCCAAACTTCAAACTGGGGACCCCAAATGCCCCAGTGTCTGTGGGTGGATGGAGCTAGTATGCAGGGTGCTGAACCATGGGTTGTGGGGTGCTGGGTGCTAGAGCTGGGATATGGGGTGCCCCAGAGCCCTGGATATATGGGTGTCAGACAGGGGTGGGCAGGACCCCAAACCTCTGCGTATTGTGGGTGCCTGATAGGGGTGGACAGGACCCCAAATCCCTGGGTACCAGATGGAGGGTGGGCAGAGCCCCAGACCCTTGGGTACGTGGGTGCCAACCCCTGGGTGTGTGGGTACCAAGCCTTTGGGTATGTGGGTGTTGGATGGAGGGTGGGCAGAACCCCATGGGTACCTGGGTGCCAAACCCCTGGGTGCATGAATGGGCTCCCTTAACCCACACTGTCCCCCATCCTTACCAAGCGGGTGCCCCATCACTGTGCCGTCCCACTGGCACCCAGGGGGGCACTGACCCATCTCTCCCCTCTCCCCACCAGCCACAGCACCCATCCTGGCTGCCGGAGCAGAGAGGAGAGGAGAGGAGGGCACTGCTGGGGGGGGTACCCCGGCCCCATTGCCCCCCGCTTGGCCCCCGCCTCGGCCGTGGCGCCGGCGCCGCGTTCTCTCTCGGAGGGGACTCTTTTAACCGTTTCCTTTTGGGGTTTTTATCGGAGGGAATTTTCATTTTCTGCACAAAACCAGCAATTGTAAATACTTTTGAAGAAAAGCTTAAAAAAAAACCCACAAAAAAATGTTTAGGGAGAAAAAAAAATCCTAAAAAGCTGAAAATTCACATTAAATACTAAAAGACAGAGCCACGCACCGGAGGGAGAAGCAACGGAGCGGCCGAGAGGTGAATATGCAGGAGAGAAGAGCAAAAACCCACCCGTATGCACTGAGTAAAGATTTATTTACAGCTCAAATCGACCTAAAAAATGAGAAAGACAAAAAAAAAAAAAACAAAGGAACAATAACCTATTTATTGTATATAATGTTTTATTATAAATCGTGTCTTGTATATTGCATTCTGTACCTCTGCTGTGGTTTTGTGGTGTGCAGCTCCCGCATGGGTCCCGTGGCTTTCCGTTGCCTTTTTTTAATGCCCAGGACTTGAGGTCTTATTTTTATGATGCTGATGCTGAAGAAGAAGGGGTTTGGGAGTGGGGGGTGGGGGGGGGGTGGGGGAGGGGGGTGGGTTTTTTGGCAGGATGCACCCAAAGACCCAAATTTGTATGAAAAAATAGAAAAAAAAAGAAAGAGTTTAACAAAAAAAATCATCAGAAAATTAAAAAAAAAAAAAAAAAGGGAGGAAAAATATCAGGAGAGAACTGGATTCCAGAGCCTTTGGTGGGGAGGTTGGGATGGGGCAATAGGGGGGGCACCGTGGTCCCCAATGCAGTGATGAGCTCAGGGTGTGGGTGTGTGTGGATGCCAATGGGGGGCTTTGGGCTTCTCTGTCCCCCCTATGTGTGATGTATGTGTGTCCCCACCAAGGGTTTGGCTCTATAGAGCTTTGTGGACTGTGCAAAACCAACCAACATGAAAAACAGAGGGGGAAATGCCCTTCAGGGCTAAAAATGGACAAAAACCAGGGGGAAAACACCCCAAATCTGGTCAAAAGAGCCCCTAAAACCCAAACCCAACCAAGAAGAGAGGAAAATGCCCTGAAATGGCTAAAAATTAACAAAATCCAGGGGTAAAACACCCCATGTCTGGTCACAACAGCCCCATGCTGCCCACCCCCAGCCAGAGAGAACCACCCTGGTGCCCCCCCGTCCCCCCTGTCCCCTCGCCTGGTTTTTGTGTTCTTTAGGAAGGAATTTTTAATAGGCACTTTTTTTATATTAAAAAGAATCCTCTATATTGAGCCATGGCCGCTGCCTTCTTGCTTTGGGGGAGGGAGGGGAGGGGGCTGTTCCCACCTGGAACTGAGGGGGGAATGGCATCCAGCCTAATTGCAGTGGAAGGGGGAGTCCCACTGTGGGTGACCTCAGTGGGGTGGCTCAGGGCTGTGTGTGAATCACTTAACTGCTTGGCTGGGTGGGATGGGTGCCCACCCCCTTTGGCACCCATAGGGCACCCAAGAGGGGGAGAAATAGAATCTCCACAGTATGGAGGTGATGGATGGGAACTGTAAAGGTGCAAAAATGAGGAAAATAAGCCCTCCAAAAGAACACTCACAAATAAATCCAACTTCCAGGACTGGGAAGATGAAGGCTGCAGCATCCTTTGGGAGAGGAGGGGGGGGGTTGGAGGGGGGGGGAACCAGCTACCTGTGGGTGGGAGAGGTTGGTGATCCCGGCGGGGTCAGGGCTGCTGCAGTGAAGTGCTTGTGCAGCAATGGGGGGGCCGGGGGGAGGCAGGAGGTTGCTATGGAGAGGAACACACGGTGCATACTGATGGCGGGGGGGGGGGGGCTGCCAGCGCTGCCGCAGCCCAGGGAGATGTCAGTGTTGTGCAAGGAGAGCACGGGGAGGGGGACACCCAACCTCAATGGTGGCCTTGGGGACCAGCAAAGAGAGCCTGGTCCTATGCAGCCCCCCTAAGACCCACTCTCAATGCAGGATGGGGGGTGTGGGGGGTGTGCCAATCCCTGTATCCCAGGTTAAGGTGGCTGGGAATGTGATGGAGGCTCTATTTCCACCCCCACACACACTCCCTCTGTGCATGATCACACAGGGCCTTGCAGGGGTGCACTTGCACCCCTAATGCCCCATGTTGGAGCTTCACCCAGTGAGCTCCGTTGCTCCCATGGGCCATTCCCAGCACCCAGGCTGGGATACTGCCCATGGGAGCAGATGCGGGAGCTGTCCCTAGGGATGCTGCTCATGTCTGGCACAAGCAGTGCCTCCCGTCCTTTGGGGGGGTCACCCCAATATTGTGCTCTCACCCGGGTGGGCACCAGATACCAACCCCACCTTGACATTGCTTACTGGGGAAACTGAAGCAGGGGACTATGGTCCCCATGCCATGGCTGTGCCCATCTTGCACCCACCCTAAAGGGTAATGCTACTCCTGGGGGATTGTTAGGGGTTCATCCCATTCCCTCCTTGTCTCCAAAGCAATGCTTCCCACAACCATCAAATTTAGTCTTTTCCCCCCATTTCAGCTCACAGAAAGCAGCGCTAAAGGAGGACAAAACCCACTGCAGCTGCATTAGTGCCCAGGTAAGGCAGGCACAAACACGTACAGCACTGGGGTGAACAGGGAAAGGAATCCCACTGGGAGGTAGGCAAATCCCACGGGGAGGCATGGCCTGGCATGGCCACAGCCTCACCAGGATGTCCAGTGCTTGAAGCACAGCTTGATTTCATTGACTTCATTTAGTTCTTATTCTTTAAGCTTCAGCTCTCCCTCTCGAGCAGTGAGCGCCGCTTCAGAGGCTGAAAAGCCTCGTGATGGGGCTGATTGTTGGGTTTGGCCAGCAAAGGTTGCTTGGGATAGTGGGAGAAAGAAAAGATGTCAAAATCGAGGGAGAAAGTGGTTATTTGGCTATTTCTTTAGCAAAGGCCTCTGAGAGATGCTTATGGGGGCACCCAGGCATGGTGCACACAGTGCCCAGTGGATATGGGATGAGCAGGACAAGGGAAGCCTGGTCCCCCACATGTGGCTGTACCTGTACATGATGGAGATTATGATGTTAATGAAGCAGAGAGGAGGTTTCTGGCCTCTCATGGTGGTTACGATGCTGGAGCAGGCAATGGAGCTGCACAGAGCCCAGGGATGCTGCAAGGACAGTGGGATGAGGGATGCTCCACATCCCAAGCAAGAGGGGTCCAGGGCTGACCCCAGAGCCGTAGGGAATGGAGATGGAAGGAGGCTCATTGTGCTGCTGCCATGAGCAGGAAGGGCTGTGCCACCATTCCGGCTTTTTCCATCCCCTTGGAAACAAGGCAGGAATTTGCCTGCCCATGGCATGGAGACGGATCCAAGGGTACAAGGCTGGGAAAATGCCCCCTATCCCATGAGGAATGTGCCAGGGCAGGGGATGGTGCACATGAATGAACATCCAGACCTGGCTCCACCATCCCTTTGGCACATGGGATGTCATCGTCCATGCCAAACTCACCCCCGTACCAGCACGCAGCACCAGCTCTGCTGCCATCCGCTGGTACCTGGAGCAGGATGAGGGCTGTGCCACCCACCCCAGCCCTGCAGTGGAAGCCGAGGCGGGGAGCAGCAGCAGGACCCTGCCTTCATCCCGCTGCTTGGATCTGACCAGGAGATTTGGCCACCCCCTTCCTCTTCAAATTAATGGCTGTGCCGTGAAGGAAATTGAAGCCATTATTCTTAGCTTGCATCCTTTATACCCACCAACTTCAACCACTTGACATGCTAATCACAAGCTAACGAGGAAGGGAGGCGATTTCCCACGTCAGACCTGCAATCCAGTGCATCTGGCAGCAGGAGTGGGGAGCATCCTGAGCCGGGGGCCACCAGCACCTCAACACCAGCATGCCCAGCCCCTTCCACCCTGCTGTAGCCCCCCAAAGCTGCTGCCACCCCACGCTGTCCGCATCCAGGACCCTTGTGGAGGGATGTGGGGTGATGCCGTTGCTCCCCGGGGACACCCCGCGCATCCCTGCTGCACGAACAGCCTCAGCGCCAGCAGCGCGGATCCCAGCTGGAGGAACCAGACCACCCCTGCTGCTCCCAGAGGAAGGGCAAGGCCCTTGGAAGAGATTTCCACGTCCCCTCCGCCCGCAGCAGCTCCCCCTGAGCCCCGGCGCGTTCATCGCACCCTCTGCAGGGCTGCGTCTGCCCGGCCCCATCCATCCCAGCCTGGCCTGAGCCCAGCCGCCAGCCGGCCAGAGAGCTCTGGAGTCCATTAACATTCCCCCCCGAGCGATTTAATCCCCCCCTCTCTGTGCCCTGGCTCTGGCTTTTAACTCGGGTTTAATCAAGCCCAGCCTGGCGCCTTCTAAATCACCGGGGCGGATGGCACCCAGCTCGCCGCATGGCACATGGGTGCTGTGGGTGCGCTCTGCAGCGGGAGGCGGGGGCAGCCCAGGGCAGAGCCATTCCAAGAGGTCTCCACTCTCCAGTGACTGGAAAAGGCGTTTTGGAGCCGGAGGAGCTGAGATCAGCAGAGCAGGGGCCAGCAAAGGCAGGGAATCAAAGCAAAGGCTATTGCAGGGGTTGCTGTTAATACCGGCTGCATGAGGATGGCCTCGGGGGGAGCTGGCACCGAGGGGGTGGGCTGTGTCCACAGGGCAGGCTGGGGTCCACGGGGAAGGAGGAGGGTTTGGCTGCTGGATGCTTGGATTCGTTCCTAGCACCCACTGATGGGGGGCACAGGGTCTGGGGCCCCACTGGGGTGGGAGGTGATGCTGCCTGCACCCATGTTCCTAAGCCGAAGCACTAAGGTGTTTGGGGAGGACCAGAGGGATGCAGGGGGATGCCCCCCCCCCCCCCCTTTCCCCCCCCCCCCCCCCCCGGTGTTTCACCACATCACTGCCGTAAAGGGAGCAGAGCCCCTCTGGGGGTCCTGGATGGGGCTCTGTGGGGTGATGGTGGCTTTTTCCAGCCATGTCCTGTGGGATGGAGGCGGGATCAGTGCTGGCTGTGGGGCTGGCTGAGGGGTCTGGGGGTGATGTGCGGGAACCAAGGGGCAGGATGTGGCATTTTGGGGAGCAAAGCATGAGCCCAAGTGGTGTTTGGGGGTCCCAGCTGTGTGGGTTATCAGCAGTGGCAGAAGCGTGGAGCTTCCCGGCTCCTGGGGGAGGGATTAAGGGGATTATATTATTATTTGTTATCGCTGAGGGGGGAAGAAATAAGGAAGAAGCCTTCATCGCTGGGAACTGTGCCTAATCAGAGCTCCCTGCTTCCGCACAGACAGCCCAGGATGGATCCTGATGGATGGATGGATGCTGAGCATGTGCTGGGGCTGTGGATGCCTGGGGGAGGGCCTTGCATTAGGATGAAGGGAACACCTATTGACACCCCAGCATCTCTGCAGGATGGGGACAAACTGGGCTGCGGTCCCCCCTACTTGCTGAAGCTATGTGCCATGCAGTGATGCGCT